TTTAATACGGTGGTGGCTCGTAATTCACAGGAGGAGCACGCGAACTGGCCATTTTTATTGGTACGCGTCGATGGAGATCGCAATCTAAATTGAATCGGATACGAGTACGTTTTGGCGTGCGTACCTGCTGCCGTTTTCATAAACACGCTGCAAACCCCGCCGCCGTCGCCGGCCACTGTTTTTCTGCTTTCCATTCGCCCGGCGGCGAATCGACGTCGAAAACCCACGACAAACGCGTTTCCGACGACATCCCGTGAAACTGCGACACGAACCGCGCGATCAACTGTTTCGGATTTCTTCCATGTGATCATTGTTAGATCGCGCTGCGTATCGCGATTTCGTACGATCATCTGATCCGTTATTGTTACTTCTACTTGGGTCTCGTCTGGCAACGAGACCCAGAAAGGCTGGTTGCGCGCGAGTGTAAGATCGCCGAGGAGGGACACTTGTTGGTCGATTCGCTGCAACAACCCGAACATAATGGGATACTTTCTAAAGCTAGATTCCCCTTCCCGCATCCCGGGAGAATTTTCGTACGGATCCTCCCGGCGGCGGAGAGTCCCGTTGCCGTCGCTCGAGAATTTATGCGCGTTTTCTCGAGGGGTAACGGCCACGCGAGTTCAGCCTATCGTTTACCCGTTATTTATTTCCCGAAATTTGAAAATTATACCGCATTTAATACCGCCTCCCTTCTTCCCTGTCCGCTGCGACGACGCCCCCCCCCCCGCCACCGCCGCCGTTACCTACCTCCGTGTTTTATTCATGTCGCAATAAATAAGGAACAAAAGAGTAGTTTGTGAAAAATGTCGGAGCGACTCCCTGCTCCTCGATCTCAGAATCGCTATTGTAGCCAGCAGCAGCACGCGCGCGAAATGTACATATACATATAGTTAGACCGCGGAAGAGAATTTTTATGGAAAACCACGTGTCTACCAAGCTACCAAGTCCATCGATATTCGTATACCCGTCAGCCGAAATTGAACAACTTTTTTCGTGTCGGGCTCAACGAATTATCATTTTGTGTCCGGTGTTGGACGGAGGTATGTCAGCTGGACGAGTCACGTGCGAGCTATACATGACTGTGATTTACAAAGTCAGTTTCGTAAGGAACAGGAGCGGGAAAGTGAGGGGCACACAATATTTCCAAGTCCTTCACTCGACTCTCTAATGAAAATTTAAAACCCGGCCTTTACTCGTACACTCGAGCAGGCGGCAGCGTGTATGTACAAGCAGCATCACGAATACACCTTGTATACACTCTCCACTGTAAACGAGATATTATATCTATTATTAAATCCGTTTATAGAGATTTCTTGTTTCTATCGGTTCGATACTGAATATTAAATTATTTCACGCGATTAAACGAATTACTTGACACGTTTTTGTAGATTACGTGCAGTACTCAGGTGTAAATTGTTTACTATAATTGCATAGAAATCCTTGCTCTGTCGATCATGTTCCAACTATCTCGTCGTCGTCGTCGTTCTCCTATTTTTTATTCCTTATTGAAAAGTGTTCCCAGTATGCAAAATCGTTCTTGACGTGGGGCTCGCAGAAGGTGAGTTTAAATAATAGATTTTACGACGTCGTGACCGAACCGCCGTAGGTATCGCGAGTTATCGCGTGGGTGGTCAGTTTCTATGAAATATGCGCGTTCGACGTACGCGCGCATAACTGTGCGTTGCGCTTCCTTGCCGGGGCGCATTTGTTCTCCGGGTGAGTGATCCGCCGCCGCGAGGATAGACACGCGGTGGAATTACGAGGGGCCTTGTTGCATCGGACGCGCCGCGTTCAGAGGTATTTACACACGTTGCGATTATCCAAATTAATGGAGAGAGACACAGAGACAGAGAGAGAGAAAGAGAAAGAGAGAGAGGGGAGGGGATGATACGACGATGTGCAATGGTTCTTCGGCCACGTTTCTTATTAGTGATATATTTCGTTGTACCGCATATATGTACACGGCACTTCTCGGTGCATGGTTCAGCTTGAAATGTATATAACGTGTCGAAATGTACAAACGATGAATGAAATTGCTTGTACCGCGTAGTATAACGTAAGGAAACGAAGAATGATGCAACTGTTAAAGCGAATAACATCCTTATTTAGGTGGACTTGTCGAGTATTCCAGGTCCAAAAGAATGTGGAGAGAATGCGGTTAACCGTTTGCAAAATGAAATCGAGAATGCAACGAGTATCAGCTAATTAATAAAATCCAGTGCGTTGATCTCACGGGTGAAATGAATAATTGTACGGTTTTGAAATTTCACGGAGCCAAGGGCGGGGAGGGGAGAAAGAAATGAGCGATTAACGAGCCGTGACGAGCTGGCGAAGAGATTCGAAGAAGAGAGTTCGGGACACACGGCGGTGCCACCGCCGCCGTTTCTTTAATTGGCGACATTAATCACGCGTAATTACCGCGAATCTTGTAACGGCGCTAACGGCTGCTACGTAACCGTCTCCGCCGCGGTCGAGTTTACCGCCGCAAACTCCGCCGAAGACCGCAGAGGCGTAGCCGCAGGCCGTCGTCGCAGTTGGTCGCTCGTGGTTCCGATCGCGCGACGAGCCACCGTGGTTCGGCGTTACGCCGTTGAGGATTAACCCCAAGGAGCAGTAACGGGCATCCGCCGCGGCTGTAATTAGTACGATACCGCGCATGGAGTGGCCGATTACCGACGGCCAGGAAGGGTTCGCCAAACCCCGCTCTACCAACAACGTTTTCATCGCCGGTGGTTTAACGAACGGTCAATTCCACCGTGTAGACCCTGCGCGCGCGCGTGTCACCTTCTACTACCGCTTCACGCGCAGGACAAATGCAAACGACGCGGGACGTGGGTTAAATCTCCGTTTTCGTGACCATATGCTTTCGATGCTTCGAGCGACGGTCAATAGTCGATCGTCATCGTCGATCATCGTAACTCATGAGGCACGCCTCCGTAAAAAATACTTGAGCAGAGATCGCGCGAAACTATGAACACGAACAGGCTCACTTAGTTACTGTTTACTCCAAAAGATCGACCTTCGGACGCAACACCTCTGGATTCCCTCTGAGAATTACATTCCTGTATACTTTGACAGTACAAGCGATGATAATCGTTCCACGGTTATCATCCTGCAAAAGCTACCCGATCATTCTACTCGCCCCCGCGTGAACGCATTGTGAATAAGTGAACGCGAAACGAGGCCCGCGCGCGCCACGACGCGACTGTCGGTAAATAAAGTCGGTCGAAAATGCGTGGAAAAAGAGGATCATCGATCGCCGTGCGAAACGTGCGCGCGAGTTTTAATTGAAACAGATAGAGCGATCAGCGAATAGGTAGCGGTTAAACGGCGGACGGCGGACGGCGGGTGGCGTGCGTGACGACCGGTGCGCGACCCTCCGGAAGGGTGTCCCTGTCCGTGTTCGTCTCGGCTCGCGATGTACCACCCTTTCGTGGGATTATTCGGTGGGTAATGTATGGCAAACATAAATCACGTAATGCGGGACGCGCGAGTATACACGGTGGCTCAGTGAAAATCCACCATCTTCGCTCTCCTCATTTTCGCTGAAAAGCCACGCTACTTTAAAATCAGAACAAGATAATAATACGAATATACGAAATTCAACGACGACACTCGTCTCCGGTTGTGTTGGGTTGCTCATTGGTCATGGAGAGAATTTATTTATCCGCGCTCTCCTCGCTGCTCATCTTCTCGTCAGTCATTCTCATCAGTCTGATCATAAACGTTATAAACGAGAGAGAGAGATACCATGAATACTTTGTTTCGGATCAACAGTATCTCCATTTATTTCGTTTCTGTACAAAAGAAACTCGACTTTGCTTCATTTATACATGTATATGCATTTAGAAGTGTTTCACATAACTCGCGATTCACCACGGCTGCCGGCGGGATGGTGGACGATTTTCACTGTACCACTCTGTATGTGTAGCGTGGAAGACTCTCCCCGTCGACGATGATCCAGTCGGTTCGGTTAAACTAATTGCCGGATCTCCATTCGCCACCAATTCCCTCGGCTATCGCGCAATCATACCCTCCTGTACTACTCTCACTTTTCTCCTTTCTTCCCTTTCCACTGTAACCAGTGAGTGTCACACAGTTCGAAGACGAGCAAACGTGACATTTTTCTTTACTCATTTTATTTAAATAAAACGTATCGAAAATGTAGGAATCGAGTCGTGTCTCAGAGTGAATGCGAACGTATAACGATAGATACAGTGCATAATATCAGAAAAAGACGCAATTTTTACAGTCGATTGGTGAACATTATTATTTGTCAACGACAATGCAGGTCCTTGCGTCGATTTTGCAGGCACCGTATAATGTGCAGTCAGCTTATTTTGGTATCCTCCTCGTAAGCTACGAGCGACGTACACGTGTACCTGCTGCTTACACCAAATTCAATTCTGAATGCAATCTTGCTGTTTCCGTCATCGACTATCTTAGCTAGCCTTGTTCGTGGTATGAAATTGAGACGAGGTGTTGACCAAATCGACCGAATGTAATACGGTCGTGAACGGGAAAATATAAATGGAGGCTGCGACGACGTTCCGCGATCAGATACCGCGGTCGTGGACCGTGACGTGAACCTTCCGACCCTGAGCACTGCGTAGCATTCGAGACGGAAACCGCGCGGTTAAAACACAGCGGAGCGGCAGGGCGTAGGGCGTAGGAAGAGGGAGAGTACGCAGCGAGTAGCGAGAGCACGTGGCGAGGGCGTCGCTCTAATTACGCGGAGTATCCCGTTGCAGATTTACGAGTGGTCGGCCGGGCGGACGGTGGTACATGTGTACGAATCACTCCCCGGCTACGACGCGCGACGCAACGCGCTACCGTGAACTTTTCTCGCCACTCCATTTACATATGAATTAAACTATTACGCCAGTCGACGACCGCTTAAGCCGGACCGGGGACCGGTGCGGAAATCTCTCGCCGACCTGTTCCCTGGCCCATTACCCGTTTACCGCGATCTATCACCCGCCGCCAGCCTACCTACCTACCTCCCTCCCTCCATCATTCGTTTCGCCTCTTTTCTTCCGCGCCTCTACCGTTCCACGCACCGTTCAAATTCGGCTTCAACCAGTTTCAAGCAGTACGCCTTGTTGTTGTTGTTGTTGTTGTTCTTCTTCTTCTTCTTCTTCTTCTTCTTCTTCTCGACCAATGCTGTATCAAACTGTTTTTTGTTATAATCAATTCATTTTAAATCTTACTTTCGGGTATAACGAGTACACGAGTACCTACTACCTACCTACCTGCGTATATAGTACAGTGACTGAAGGGGCAACGACAAAGCTACCCTTTATTTCGTAGCGGAAGCGTGACCGACCGCGAGAACCCCTTTGACTTTATCCTCGATAAGTATAAACCGGTCCGTTAATGGAAAGCGCTTGAATATTTCATCCTCTCCTCTCGTGACGACCCCAGCAGCTCGTGTACAACGGCTGCGGCCCGAACCACCAGTCCACCATGGTCGCGGTAAGCGGTTGGAAATTCGCTAAATACGCACCGCCGCCAGAGGAAAACAGAAAAATTGTAAAAATTCAAGCTGATGATGCTCCGTTTGAAAGGATCTTAACAAGTGATCCATTTGCATCGTCGTCGTCGGCTTGTCTTCTCAGAATTCGAGGAATGATACGCCAAGTAACATTCAAGTCGAATTGTCTTTCATTTATTGATTTTATTTCACGGAACACGCATTTTTCTTTCACGAACATACTCAGTATTCAATCTTATTACGTTTACATACAGTGAATGTACATAGTAAGCTTCGTGTATAGGAGCCTATTTTTATTCGTCACACACATCATCACGATGACCTGGAGTGTACGATGCAAACGAATCGTGCACGAAGTATGTCATCTGTCGCTCGAGTACAGTGATGTTGTACTTTGGATTTTTAAGCACGCGCGCGCGCGCGCGTATATCGTTTTGCAATGATAAAATTATGGTGTGGTTTGGTGACGACGAAGTGGACGAGCCTCGATGACCCTGTCCATTTTACGTGTTAAAATCGATAACACGACCGACCGAGCTACCGAAGTTCGGTGCAAAACACTCATCGCTCGTCCGTCGCGGTTGCCGTCGTCTGCCGTTAATATTGCAGGACGCTAGCTAATGCGTGCCGGTCTCGTTAAATGCCAACCCTCGCCCACGTCTACACCCGCGTACTAGATTCAGTTTCGTTCGTTCGTTCCACGCTCTACCCTGTTCATTTTTTACGATTAAGAAATGCACGGTTGCTGCTTTCCTCTCGTCTTATAAATACGATTCATTTAATTGATTCTCACTAAATTCTGAAAAGCGCATCGTATGATTTATGGCCTGTAACGTGTAACATTAAATTCACCGTACGGTACGTACATTGCCGCGATCGCGTAAACCACTGCGACCGACCAACCATCTATGTACCTTGGTAACTTTCGTATGACGTCCATCCACCCCATCGTCGTCACACTGGTATCGTCGCTTATCTAGCGCGTAATACGGTTCGTCAGATCAACACTCGGAACAACGACGAGCTTCGAAGATCGAAGCCGTCACCGTAGTCGCATCGGTTAGTTCAGCGAAGACCATCGGTCGATCGAAGCTCGCCCATACGAATAAAATAAGAATAAAAATTAAAATACATAGACGCTTGCCTGAGAAATTATGTTACACGCCACCGCGCCCAAAGTTAAAAATGTGGCGACGCAGCTATGCATAGTTCCTCGCGACTGATATCATGTATATTTGCGGCTTGGTCGCTGTTTCACGACTTTTAGTAGAACGCCCTCAGTTCTGCTCCTCATCCGTCAGACGCATCGTCGGCCACGTCGAAGATGGCCGTTGCGCCGTCTTTGCCGGTGGTTATATTCACCCTCTTCCGCGTAGCGTCGCGATCTTTCTTGGCTCGGAGCGGCGGCGACGACGACGACGACGACGACGACGACGACGACGACGATGTTCGCGTGTCGCGCGAGACGCGGTCCCCTTATCGCAAATGACTGCTTCCGGACGAGTAGTACGAAGAGCCATTTAGCAGAGCGTAACGGCGTCGCGGCGGCGATCGCAACCCGAGTGCCTAATCCAGACGATAATGGCCCGTCGCCGCCGCCGCTGCCGCTCCTCGCGGATAAAGACAACGCGCGGCCTCTTCCTTTGGGAACGGGACACTTCCCCCCGTCCGAGTATACCTAGTATCCTCGATAAAGTGTTATACATACGTCGTTTTTATCACCGCGCCGTGTTGCGTGAAAAATCAAATCGAATGAAGGAACTTTTTTTCTGTCTATCGTTCTTAATTCCGATCCTCGCTGAGTTTAGATCGGGCTCTTACGTCGGTGAGTCAATAAATCATCCCTCGATCGTTTGAACGATGACGGAACTATCGTTTCTTACACGCTGCTTTAAGATTTCTGTAATGATTCGGTGTTTGTCGAAAATTGCGCATATATCCGCGACTCCTTCGTCTTGATTTTGACCAGCTCTCGTCGATTCTCAATATGATATCCCATTACCCGAGTTTAGGTCGCGTTATCGCCGCGGCACAAAGCTATCGATTACGCGCGTCGTCGTCGTCGTCGTCGTCGTCGTCGTCGTTGTTTCTCTCTCCGCTACAAATGAATTGTCGACGGTGCGACGGTGTAACGAGTCGCAGAGAGTATCTTCGACATCATCGGCGGGCACAACTGTCTACACGTTACACGCGCGATCATGCTACACCGCGTGTATCGCCGCTGTCAGCAAATTACTCCGTACTACTTCGTTCTATCCCCCGGATACCGAGCATACATACATACATACATATGTATATCGAATGGCAGGCGGACGGAAACATTGCTCCGTCCTCGGGTTGGCTTACGGCCTACTACTACTACTACTACTACTGTTAAAATCACCGCCGAACGATCGATCGTACGATGGGATATCGATGTTTCTGAAACTTCGTTCGCCATATAGTTTCCACTGAAATTCTTAAATAAAAATTGCTCGGATCCGTTCGCTCGAAGACGATTAATTTGATTAAATGTTCATGTGTAATTGTCATTGTCATTACGCGTTAAATGTATACGTATACTGTACGTATACGTACGATATACGTCGACGGTAACAGCAGCAGCAGTGTCGGCGGCGGCGCGCGTGATGTTCAAGCAGCGGCATACGGCGAACGGATGAGTGCGAGGAACGTGCGACGCGTCGAGTGAGTATACCTAATAGTAAAGGGAAGGAACGTTTTTCTCGTCGAGTATCGTGCGCGGCATTGCGAGATAGGGCGAGGCGAAGGCGCTAGGGAGCAATTCCCTTAAATGCCCTGTCGTCCGCAAAAAGCCACTCCGTGTAAAAAACAGCCCGCGCGTTCCCTCGCCACGGCACGGAATCGTGTGCGTGACGACACCCGCCGTCCTTTCGTTCTTTTTCCGTCTCCAGATTATATTAGTCTTTATGGCATCGATAAAGTGCACCGTCGATTCTACCGCAGCTCGCCCCCTCCTCCTCGCCCGATCAAGCGCCTCTTTCACCCGAGTGCCTGAATTTGACGCTGCCGTCGCCGCCGCGGCCAAACCCCTGCCCTAGCTCTCTCCTTCACTGGCACTCGCCGCCAATCTCGCCTCGGACACTCGTTGAAACACGAAAAACGATCTTATATAAATCGTTTGCTTCAACTTGGAATTTAAAACAGCGCAGCGATGCTACGACGTGTTAAGGATGTATTGGCTATACAGTCAATACCAAAAGTTTATGCACTTTAGAAACGCATTTTTTAAAAAGAAATCAGACGTCGGAAGAACATTGCTAATAATAAACAACAAAACAAAATTTTCGATTTTTCCGAGATTTTTCCAAGAGGTACCCCTTCAATTACTTCCAAATTTTCGTTTTTGGCCAATAACTCCCAAACCGTTGGACATACGGAAAAATTGTATAAGACCTTTCTTGTAGAGGACGACGAGATCTACAATTTCTGTATAAAACTTTTGCGCTAGCGTCAATAGTTTACGAATAATTTGCAAAGAACTGTTTTTTAGTTTTTCGTCAATAACTTTGTTATACATTGTAACAATACGATAAGTAAAGATTCTCAAGTCTACGTACGTAGGATCGTACGCGTATTACATGCTGTTGATACTTTGATTAGAATTATGATACTATCGTACGTATCTTCTTGCGAGTATTCCAACGACCGAATAAGAATAGGAGGCGTCGATACACGATTGTGTGTGTGTACGAGCAGTGAATTCTGGCTGTGATATCAGCTCTCTTTCCAGTTTTGTAGATGGTTATAAAATTGGAATCGCATCGGCGTTAAATTGAACGACGCCAATATTTGAAGCGACCGCGACGGAAATCGCAGTCGCTTCAGGAAATGAAACGTGTGCAGTCTAATTTCCAATCCCTGTCGGTGTCACAGTACACAGTCTATGTACGTGTGAACACGGTGAAAAATAACCGCGACAAGCTTGACGAAAGTTTAATTAGCGGCGTGAAGACCGACTATCGCGAGACTATTGTGAAGACTGAATTCGTAAAGAGCGAAATATCACTTTGGTGGTGGTTCGGCGGCGTCGCGGTGTTGGTACGTAATAGTATAGGTATACAGACGTATGTAGTAGTAGTAGTAGTAGTAGTAGTAGTAGTAGGTACACAGTATAGAAACATTGAACGGCACGAGTTTAGCGAAAGAACAATTGACTGATCGTCGATGGTAACGATTGGTCGACGAGTCGGGAACGATCGGCTGCCTGAAAACTAAGGAATAGACGCTTTCCTATTCGTATGCTCGTCATGATATCTCGCGACGCGACGGTGGGTCGGTTGACCGCGAAACGCGTACGTTTCCGACGACGATGACGACGACGACGACGGAAAGATATATCGGAAACGGAACCGAGTGTATGCAGTCGAGGACTGGCAGTTTCGCACGAGACAATGGGAGCGATCGACGATTCGCCGCCGTTCGTTTCACCCTCTGTTCCCTCCGAAAAAAAACCGACGGCGAATGAACGAACGAACGAACGAACGAACGAACGAACGAACGAACGAGGATGCGGACCTTTTGCGTCGGGGAACGCGTGATCGAAATCGGAAGAAGAATAAAACAACGGTGAAAGGTAAGGTTGGATCTGTATGTTTCCCATCCCGAAACGTTCTTATCACTGTAATAACGTACACTGCAGATTTTTTCGAATGCGAACGAGAACCACAGACCGATCGCTGTAAATGTTCCTCCTCGCCGAAGGGCGTTACGCGGTCAGTAAGATCTGTAAACCGTGAACCGGCGGCGATTGATAATTTGCTTTTCGACGTCTGTTCGACGTGAAATGACTCGCGCCGTTCGCGGTTATAGCGCTCAGGGGCAGAGCGAACATTTTCGCAGAGTTCGAATCGCGCCTCGAATCCGTGCCTGGGTGCTCGTCTCTCGCATTACGTATGCGACGGCGGCGGCGGTGGAACGAAAGTGACTGATCCGTCGCGCGGTCGGCATTATCGTCTATCGAAAAAATATGAATAAGCTTTCCAATTTCCGTGACGTTCCGTGACATTTCGCCGGGTAGCCCGTCGACACTGCTCGCTCGTCGCAGGGAGGTTGCTTTTCAATGAAATGCGAACGATACAGCGAAACGCCATCCGATATTTCGACGCGCGGTGTTCGCCGCATACGAGATCCAGCTTTTTCTCCCGACGTGCGACGACGTGGAAGGGCGGCGGGGGGCGGAGGGTGCATCTCGTCACCGTCGACCCTCGCCAGGCTTTTCCGCTTTTCCGACGGATCGGATCGAATCATCATCGTCGTCGTCGTCGTCGTCGTCGTCGTCGTCGTTGTCGTCGATCGCCAACCGATTCCATCGACCGATGTACTACTCTGTAGTTCAAAACTGGTGCATGTTTCCTGATGTTGTCACTTTTTCTACCACATCGCCTGTATGATTATTAACACTGCCTTTGCGTTACACACGTATGGTACGGTATCAGAACCGTTAGAATTCGTGCAGCGTTTCATACGTAATAATCTCGTGCAATACGATGGTTCAGTTGTTGCGGTTCAGAATGAGAAACTGCGGCGGTAGTTTCTTGAGAGAAGAACTTGGTCTCCGATCCGATTCCGAAGGGTTTGTACGGTTCGTTCAGCGAGACGTGAAACAGAAGTGGAAGAAACGAACACGCAATATCGTACAATGACGTACACGGCGGTGGTCGTAATTATTATTGTCGAACGTAGTTTTTATTATCCGTACCGTATTTGAATTTCCGTGATGATTAAAACCTTTCGGAGAAAAATCGAGAACACGGTGGGAGGAGGAAGCGCGCGTTTCGTTAAAAGTTGCCGATCGCTTTAGGAAGGAATGTTTAAGAGCGATTTTATAGTGTCCGGCGCAGAGGTCAACCTATCCTCGGATACATCACCCCAAACCCTCGCGTCTCGTTGATGGATCGCGGTTCTGCTCCCCCTCTCTGTTTCTTCTCCCGTCTACTGCTTGCCCACCGCGACCATCCACACCCTCCGTAGTCTTCTTTCTTCGATTTCTCATTCCTTCCGATGGATTATGCTGCATCGCGTTCTTATCTCGGCTAACCGCCGCCACCGCCGCTTCTCACCGATTGATCGCGACCGATAAAACCCCCACGCATGTGTGCGCGTCAACTTCTTTCGCCGCCAATCGCCGTCAATTATAGTCAAACGTCTTTTCGATCATCGTTCGACGAATCGAGTCGATTCGATCAAAAATCAATGTTCCTCGACTATCCTCGAACAATGAGATAAGAGATTCGCCGTTTCGTAAATGTTTCTCGTCTGCTAATTGGACAATGGAAACTTTCCACGTCCAGGTTTCTCTGAGACGCGAAGAAAGAACTGGGTGTATACACGGTGACCAGTATGTGAGCAAGGTGAGTGGAAGCGATTCGCGAAGGACGAATCGTTTAGAATCGGTAAGGAACAGCTGGAGGCTGCACCTACGCGGTGCAATTTCTCTCGGAACAGGAGTATATCCCTCGGTGTCTTTTTACTTTGAAATTCCGTCGATACATCACGCCTCTCTTGAAACTTTGCTCGCTCCGCCTTCGCCACCTCTGACGCTCCGCCTTTCCTTCGCCTCCTCGTCGTCGTACCTCTTCGTTCGTCTCTCTCTTTCTCTCTCTCTCTCTCTCTCTCAATCTCTCTATATGCTGTATGTATACGTGTCCTTGTTACACCGAATCTTTGTTTCTTATACCGCGCGCGCGATCACCCGGCAAAATACTGATTTCGGTTTCGAGATCGAAACGATCGAGTTTACCGATGCGATGGGTAGAATCTCTCTGCGAACTGTTTACGGGTTTTAACATTACGGATTTTACGGTGCATCACGAACGCGCGACACGGGGACGACACGTCATCGTACACGTTTAGTCGATCATGAACGCGATTCATCGCGAGCCGTCTTGTACAAGAGACGGGTAATAGAAACGGGAACGGGCATAAAAGGAAGCTGGCTGGCGAGTGAAAATAAAGCGGAACGGTAGTAAGGTTGCGCGAAGGGGAAACCGCGGAAATGGCGGTAGGAAGGAACATAGAGGTAAACGGTGGTATAATAATAGTCTACTCTACTGAAAGAGAGAGGAAGTGGTATAAGCGAGGCGATTGCCGTTCCGAGTGCCGCTGCCGAGTGCCGCACGGGCGAGACCCGCGCCGCCGCCGCCGCCGCTCGCTCCTCTTCTCGTTTTCGAGGTAGTACCTACGCTCTCGAAAAGGAAAAAGACGGTCTCCTTCGAGATTCCCACCGCTCTACGAGCACCCTTATCTCTCGTTTGCCGCTGCTATCTCGCAAATACCCGGACCGTCTTCACTCTCTCTCTCTCTCTCTCTCTCTCTCTCTCTCTCTCTCTCTCTCTCCCTCCCCCTCGTCCCTGTCCTGTTCCTTGTTTCTTCGCGTTCCACCAAACGACAGCAGCAGATACTCTTCGTCTATTTGAAACGATTCTTAACCTCGTACTTTGTTCCTTGTCGATATTGTTGATCCCCTCCCCCCTCTCGGGGGGATAAAAGTACAGTTCGATGTGCTCGAGAGTAATTTATCTGCAGCGAGGAATCGTTTCTTGTATCGATGACGCGATCATGGCGGATAGTGTTCGTGCAAAAATACAATGTATGCGTACGCATTGGTAACTAGCGTCAGATCGATTGGACAGCGGAGTATGAAAGGTGAAAAGTATAGGAACGCGGGGCTAGTTTGTCCGAGAAGACGCGGGGGAAAGTTTTGGCGGAGCCAGGAAAGAGCGAGCTCGGTTTCTTGCGCGCACTACGTTCGCTTGGGTACGGACAATCGGGCGCGAACTTCTGTAATTAAAGTTATGTTCTCGCGTAGACGCAAAGTTACACCGAGTTCCACGACTTCGTCTCCGACGTTCCCCCCGGTCTCTCTTCGAGAGCGACCGCTCGCGGACCGCTTGTCATTTAGAAACTGTCAACTTCGTTCGCGAATCTTATCTGGAACCCACGCGACGAGAAAGAGTCTCGAATTATTCTCGTCACGGAACGTTTCTCGACAATTTTACACGTACCTTCTTTATTTTCGTTCGTTTCATTTCAGGTAATTGCCTCGCGGATGATATTTTAGCAAGATTGAGAGAGACGAACCGACGACGACGACGACGACGACGACGACGACAACGACTGCTGACGCGTATAATAAAAATCAGAGACGAAGTCTGGGTCGAAATCAAAGGAAAAAATGCGCGCGTGGCGCGATGCCGGCGTTCACGATAGGGGCGACTATAGCGAGCCGAATTCATTCACATCACACACAGGGGTCGACGAACCTTCAGCGAACTGAATTTCGGTTAATTGAACAGTCACTCGTGCGGCGGGATTGACCTAGAAATTATCGTATCGTGTCGTATTGCATAGTATGTCTTCTCTTTCGACGAGCGAACGCGCGTACCAGCCAACCGACTTTATCAAATCCAACTTCTCACACGACGCCGCCGCCGCCGCCACTGCTGACGGTCCACGATTTCCATCGATCGGACAACGTTCCGGCGGCGTCAAACCGTGTTTTTATTATTAAATACCAACTCGTTGCTCAATCGTTGCGTCTGCCGTAATACGATACGTTCGGTCGAAATTTTTACGCAACAAATAATGAAATGATAAAAGTAATGTCCACGCGCTGTGTTATGCGTATACGTGTTTGACGCATGAAATGAACTTGAGAAAATGCCGTGTCACCCCGATGTCGGCAGACGATAATCGTTTGATAAGCGCGACGCGGGTTCTGGTCGGATAGAGGCGGGATACAAATCGTCTGCTAGAGATGAAAGAGGCAGTTTGGGTGGTCCTCAATTGGACGGGTCCGTTTGCATGTTAGCAAGCAGCCGACTTAAGCCCGTTGTCTGTTAATTTGTCGTTGAATTGAGTCAATCGTTTAATACGCCACCGTTTACCGTTCGACCGTCGCGTTATTGTTCGTTGAAAAAATAATCGCGACGCGCCATGTGTGTATAAAGTTTGCTTGGCGAAAATCACTGATCCACCGGCGATCTGTCAGCGAATCGCGCGATAAATAGTATTTTATGTTCAACTGCCGACGTAACTTATTCCGATCGTCGAGAAGAGACGTGGCTGCGAATTTTATGCGCTTACGAAAGAACTGAATACGCAGAAATAATAAACGTTGCACATAACGTTTGAAGCTGTTGGAAATATCAGAAGCTGCTGAACAGTGAGATGTGATACATGTATGTTTCGACGACGACGTTTAACGAACGATGATCGTTTAAAGAACGTTTGTTGCGAAACACATTTTTTAAACTAACCCCGATTTACTTTGCCGATAATAGTCCGCAGCCTCATTCATCAATTTCACACGGTATGCCAGGTCCTCGTCTGTAATGTGTATAAGAATTCGAATTCCGAGGAGCGTCAAAGCACACGTATACAGGGGACAAGAACGGTTTGGCATTTGGTGAAGAAACGAGCGAGCGGCCGTCTAACAAGATAATTAAGAGTAGACCGTAGGAGTGGCCGGGCTCGGTTTTTTGTTGGTCGCGTGCTGGTGTCAACTCGTGTCGACCAAGATCTCCCCTTTTCTTCGCGCGACTAGTTGATACAGTCTGTCGGAACGCGATAGAAAAACGTCTAGGTTGTAGCGAGAATGTGAGAAAACGAGCGCGAACACGCGCTGCAAATATCAGCCGATTCGAGCCGGTTAGTTATTGTTTCCTCGCAGTCCGCGGGTCGAGTCAAGCAGGTCATCGATCTCGTTTCGTTTCCTTTTCTTTTTTGTTCCCACGAAACAAAAGACAAAAAGAAGACGAGACGAAAATTTGAAAACGATAGGCGAAGATATCGCGGAGTTGTCCTTGGGGATTTTGGCGAACGCATCGAACGGACAAAAGGATCGGATATAGAGTCGAGTGTCAGAGGTGGGAAGGGGGCTCGCGTGTGCGGCACAGGAAATGTCAAGATCACGGCGGCAATATCGCATCTGTCCGATCGCATCTAGCCAACGTGCGCATTCAAGCGACCCCGTCTACGTACCGCCGGCGTATACTTTTACCCACCTATCATCTATATCTCCGCGTAAATTACTCTCTCTGGCTCACGCGCTCACACTCTTATTCTCACCGCGACCGACCGACCGATCTTTCTTTTTCTCGCTTAACTCTCGTCGAACACGCGTTTTCGACATTCGTTTTAATCGAGGTCACATCCTTCGATACGTTGTCGTACTTGCCGATCATTACAATACCCACGAAGAATTTGAATCGTCTTCGGGCTGGAATTTTTAAAGAATAAATGTATCGAGTGATTATAGGTGCTCGTACGATTCCTTGAAATTTGCAAGCTGTGCGAGTTCTTGAAGCGATAATTCTGTAAAACGCTTCTACGCTTTGAACGCTCGTCGAATTTGTGTGAAGAGCTGAATGATGAGACGAGATAAGAAACGTCTCCGAGCAGCGCGAAAAAGTTGCGAGCCAGAAAAGAAGCAAGTTGACGGACTATCGATTAGCTGTCAGTTTATTTGGGAAAAGTAAAAGGAGATCCGGCGGGCTCCGGGGAACTGACCGAGTCGGGACGGATCCCAACGGCGGTGGCGGCGGCGCGGTGGCAGGTTACACGGGAATACTCCCAAAGTCGTCCTACCTACCTACCTTCCTTACTTCCACAAATCGGAATTGATTTGTCACCCGCGAACGTTTACATCCGTCTCAGATCCGATGTTCAATAGCCGGCAATATCTCTTGACTCAATTCCAGTCTCGTTGTCGGATGGTTTTACGATTTTATTCTCACGACAAATTTCACTTTTACGCGATCGACGGTACTTGAGTCATACACATGCGAGCGCGCGCGTATTCGCGCACAGTTCGTTTTCCTCGTCACTTCGGTGTCCCGAGGAGATACGTACACGTACGTGCCTGATTCATCCTCTTTTGACACAATCGCGGCAAAGATCGATGAAAGGCCTGAGACCATTTGTCTGCTAATGTACCTACGACGATGAGCGTCGTATAACTTCTCTGAGATACCGACGACCCAGCGCCAGTGTGAAAGAAGACGTGTCGAAGAAGACGTGTTTATTATTGGGGCGCAAGCTGGTCGGTCGGTCGAGCGAATTACGCGCGGTAAAAGCGTGGCAAACGGTTTTTGTGAACAGGAAAAAGGAGCGGACAGCTGGCGGGTAGTGTCGTCGTGGTCGGGTCTGGCGAGGCTCGTGGGCGTGTACGCGAAACCGGGAAAGTGGGCGAGTATCGCGTAACGAGGCTCGGACGTCTTCTAAATATAGCGGAACAATGCAGAAGAATCGGCGCGGCGGGTCCATGGCCCATCGGCAACAATGTGACAGAAGTCCGAGAACGAGAGATTCGAGGTTTTCACCGTCCGACAAACGATTCGCTCATTGTTCAGAAGTCGAACCGCCCCGTCGCCGGTAAACGGCGGTAAGTAACGGTCAGCCGATCTTGCGGCACGCGCACGACATCGGGCCGTCACGCCTCGTTCGCTGCCGCTGCAACGAGCCGTCTAATCGCTCCTTTCGCGGTATGACGTATGACTGATTCTGAATTCTGATGCTCTTTTCTTCTCGTAACACTTTCCGTGGTGGACCATTGCTGTCACCGTTACCGTCCGCGACACCGCGAGGACCGTCGATCCGTGGGGCAAGCGCTGGGTCGATCGAAATCGGTACAGGCGTACCTGTACTCGTGGTCGCGACAGTCTAGGACCGGGCACAGTTCAGTTTTTGTTCATTCTGCGCATCTCAATGTTTTACCGTGTGGAGGGATGTTCGCTGCAACTCCCACCATCTTCCAAGCTGTGCGAAACGATCCTAGATTCTCGGGATCGCAAATATAGTAACGATTGCGAGGAATGTGAGTTATGGGAGCACGTGGTCGCGTGGCTACTTGCTTATGCGTCGTGCGTACACCCTGGCGACGAAACCGGCGCGATATACCCACCTACCCCCTGTCTCGTCGTCCACCACCGGGTAACAACTCGATTCCATATTCCCGCGGCGCGACGTCGCCCGTGAAGAATTGAATGAAATAAAATAAAGCTCCGCATCCTCTCCGTGTTTTATGGCTTGGATCGCTTCCGCCGTCGCCGCGCTTTACTACACACAATTCCGTGAGTGTGTGCGCCCGCCCATCTGTTCCCTCGTACGTACCCCATCGTCGATACCCGTGCTTTCCTACACACACAGTATGTCAATGTAATGCAGTGGGTGCCTCGTCGCGCCTAATATTACGTAGAAGACTGGCTGAAAAACAAATACCTTTATGCCATCGATTCAAAGAAATGAGACTCGAGACTTCTAGCTGTCCCTAGACGCCGCCGTGTGCAGTCTCTACACAAAAAGGATACATCGCGGGCGCTCGTCGCGTCTAGCCTCTGGTGTCTGTGGATCGCGAGCAAGAACGAACGATTCCGATTAATTCCGATCGGTCGAAAGTATAGTCGACGACCTGCTGTCCACGTCGACAGGTAGACGCGTAAAGATCATCGACGACGACGACGACGACAACCGAGAGATCGTCGATAGAGATATAGGCTGAAGAAACGGGGCGAGAAGCATGGCGAACGTGTAGGCAGGAAAGTAGGCAGGGAGGTGGTGGGTAGGTAAGTGGGGCGGTGGCGAGGCGGTCGGAAAAAGGAGCAACGAGCGGTGGAAAAAAGCGATGCCGTAAAGCACTCAGCGGGGAGCGTGATCCGCTTACGAAAGTCAGGTGGACCCGCGCGTTACCAAGTTACCGCTTCACCTAGCTGTCCGCGGCATATCCATATGCCATATACGACACACGGGACCGTGACGGTGTTTCACCCTTGATACTCGCCCCCTCGCCGCCGTCTACGTCGGCTCCCTTACACACTTTTTTGCACACCCGATATCGTTGCAGGCACGACCGAGCAACAAATCAACGATACGAGGCCGCGAGAGGTGTATTATTCGGAGTATTCGTCAGTGGAACCGTGAGCTCCGCGTGTCGGTTAACGATACGACTTTACACTGTTTCCGAGTACGGAATCGTTTCCGGGATCGATCGATCGACCCATCAGCGATGACAGACCGTATCGATGGAAAAACAGGCATCGCAGCGGAACGTTACGTTCGTTGGAGAGCGTGCGGGGGAGAGTCGAATGAAATAATTATGGGGTCGATGGTGGCTGGTTCGCGCGGTTCGCAGCGGCTGTAACGGCGGGCGTTACGGCCAACGGTCGCGATGGTTCTCCTTCGCGAGGAGCCTGAGTCGCGTTTAATAAGTTAAGCGACGACGACGCAGCTGCTCGTCTTAATGAAACATTAGCCCGGGATCCAGGTCTGGATCTCGACGCGATATCCTCTTCCATATTTTCTCGGCCGGCCGAGCGCCGCGCCGCCGCCGCCGCCGCCGCCGCTTTGAGCTCGTCACCGCTCTCTTTGCACCTCGTCGATCCATCTTTCCCCTACCCTGGTTTCGCCCCTTGTTCGTGAGAAATTTACCTTCCACACACAGTACACCGTTCGTTCCGTGGCCGGCTTTTCATTTACGTTTTCTCCCTTAATCACGATCGAATACATTTTTCACGCGCATCGTATGTATACGTATATTTTGCGATCTGCCGTAGGCGATGATGTCGAAACGCCAATTTGACGAGTAAACCCTAGGCTGTGAGAGTCTCGATCGTTCCGACGTAACGCTCGTGACGTACTTACGAATGAAAATCGTTGAGACAATAAAATCGTACGCACCGCACGTGACACGATGCGTTTGAGATACTCTGGACCGAACGGGGTTTATTATACGAGGGACGACCCGAGGAGTTGATGACACACAGTTACGTAAAGAGAGTACGTGAAACATTATTGCTATAACGCGTTCAATTGCCGTTCTAGGACGCTCCGATTCTCGTCCAATCTGATCAGCGCCACGAAGCATCGCTCCCGCTCCCCGGATTCCACGGTCTTAAATAACTGTTGGAGCCTCCGCGTCATCGTCGACTCGCGAGGTCAACGCGAGCATTTGCCCGCGTTTACACGGGCTACCAGCAATCGCCGAGCTCCGAAGCTCCACCCTGCTTCGTTTAGACGTATTATTAGTCTGCAACCCGACGGCGCAGCCTCGACGATCTTTCTTCCAGCATCTCTCGACAAGTCCCCCGCGAGTAATTAATTTATATTGATTTATACGTTCTTCTACCCACCTAAACATCTCATCAGTCGATCACGTTCGTCCGAACGAGAAATTTCTATTCTTTATCCCCTATTTAGAGACAGATTAGAAACATCGTGTCCATACGTCGTCTTGTCAATTATCGTTCGTTAAATCTTGTGTCAACGTGCATACGTACATAGGAATTACTACTTACGTACGTGATGTGTCTCACGATCGAAATGTCGTGTCTGACCTTGATGAGAAGACGATATTTTCAGAAAGCTAATACCTTCTGATACAAGTATTTATACGTATGTAGGGTGATCGAGAAGAGGCGACGCGAACGAATCGCGCGTCGATTGAACTGGCGGCTGGAAAATAATCCGGAAGCCGACTGCGGAGCAGCTGGACGGACGCGTCCGGATATCGGCAGTGAGTTGTTCTTTTTCCGTCGCTGAAACCGTCGGTGACTCGAGTGGCAGTAAAAAAGGCGAGCAATGTCACGGGGACGTAACAATGGCCGCGGCGCGAGTAGATGCATCGCGACCGGTTGACCGTCTCTTCCAAAAGTCCGTCGCGAAGGAAAAGGCTTCGGTCGGTTGGCAACGGTCGAGCCTCGGGCGTGAATGCAGCTTTTAATTACGTTCTGAATAGAAGAGCCTCTCTCCTCGAGCCTTTGTACAGTGTCACGATGAACGAGAGTTTGCGATACGACACACGTCCACAATAACACGTCGACTCCGTTGCGTCGTGATCGTCGCCGTGGTCGTGGTCGTTGTCGTCGCGGCAGTCAGGCGGTAGGTAGTAGCGACGCAAAAAACTATACACCCCACCTTCCGTCCTCGTTTCCACGTCGAATTGCACGTCGTACCGTCCGTTTTTCCAGTTAACGCGCGACCACGCTCTCTTTTCAACGTGGTCGACCAGAAAATTGTCTCATCGAATTATACCGTGTCGTCTTGGGAAGTGGGTTAAAAGGAAACATATGACGCTTCGCGCGCGTGCAGGAGGCGAGAGTTCGAACGAATTCATCTTCCGATTTCCAGTCCGGGCTCGAATTTGACCTGCGGGCGCGCGGGTTTCGTCAAAAGTAATGGATCGAACGACGAGAATGAACGACGGAGAGGCGGCCAGTCGTATCGTGTGTTCGGGGGAGAAGGTTCGACGGACGGTGAAAAAAAGCCAAGTATCCTCGCTCGAATCAACATAACAAATTCAATCGGACGGTGTGACGTGGTCGCCACTAACCGCGACCACTACCGTCGACGTCTCGTCCCTGGCAAATATATGGGTGACATCAGCATATGCATGAAAGAAGGGTAGATGCTGTCAATGTGGGTGCCCGCCTATCGATTGGCTTTCGGCTCCTGCTCGCCACGCTTCGCATCGCGATCCTACCGAACAGTCGCCTGTCCTTCTTCTTCTTCTTCTTCTTCTTCTTCTTCTCCTCCTCCTCCTCCTCCTCCTCCTCCTTCTTCTCTATTCCCAAACGGAAGTTCGTGGAATCTCGCCACTATTTGATAGTGGTAAATCGGCTACCTATATACTTATTCCTTCATCCTTACGATCACCGTCTGTCGGTCTGTCCGTGCGCAGAGGGTCTCGTACAACTTTGTTCTTTTACGCGTCGTGGCATGGTTAATTGGAAAAAGTCGATTTATATTTATGAGCAGCTCTCTTCCAGACACAAGCCTTTGAATATTCGTCGTCCTCGTTGAGAAACACCCGCGGTCGTGGGAATCGGCCGCGTATTCGTTAAAACACGATGTAATGTACTGCGATTGTACATCTGGGAATCTGATCTGACTCTGCAGCAAGTGAAAGGTCACACGACTAAAACTGTTTTACGTGATATCACGGGACTTGTGACGTTTATAAATGAACGAATATGAAAATGGATAACGGAGAAACGAAATAGCTACGGATCTTTTCCGAGATACTTCTCTCCTTTTTATTCGTTCCGTCCACGAGATTCCGACAACGAGTATACCTGTTGTCGCGCGTCACGAGTCAAAAGAAGGAAAACACAATACTCGTGGTCGCCGCGTCGCGTCGGTTCGTTAGCGACTCCGGGGAGTTAATTAGCGAAGAGGAAGAAGAAGTTAATTTCTTGTTCGCTCATAATCGGACGCCCCTGATGATGAAATACAAGCTTGATAAAGACGGACGGAGGTTGAAACTGGAGTTTTTGGAACGCGGGGGGAAAGATGGGAACCCGTCGACCTGCGTAAATAGATCGACGTCACCGTTCTACGGACCTGCTCCAAGCGTCGTTCATATTTTTCAATTAAAAAAATAGTCCTGAAAAAGTAGTCGTTGCAAGGACTGTTACGAGTAAACACGTTTACGACTAAACATGATTGTTTCCGCGGTATTGAAGATCCGTTCTTCTACACTTGAACGTACGTGTACGCGCGAGTACGTCTTCAAAAGAAACGATACATTACGTATAAAAAGTTATTGAACGTATTCGTGAGAGAACTTGTTTCTGTTTTAAATTCGTTGATCGGAACAAAAAGAGTGACTGAGCGAGTGACGTCGCCAGATTGGGCGGGGGGTGGGGGCCGGTTACTACCGGAAAGAAAAATATTTTTGTTTCGTTCGTCGGGACGGAACGGATCGCCCGTTGGCGATGAACTTTCTGAATAATTACCACAGCGGTATGAGCTTGATTCATCACCGAAGTTCGCCTACCTAAGATGCTTTATCTGCGCGTCGCAGTCTCTGCGAAATTAATATGCTAATACCCGTGTGGTTCCCTCCACCTCGCCCCGAAGCGGTGGCCCTCTTTCTCTTTCTCTCTCTCTCTCTCTCTCGCTCTCTCTCGACCTCTCGCTACCCCCTCGCCCTTCGCTGCACGACATCGAACCCCCTAAACCGGAACGGATTGGCAAACACGACCGTGCCATGTCTCGTTCCTCGATCACGCTAATTTCGACTTCCCCGTGACAAATTACTAACCGCCCTCCACTATATTTTCGTATCACTCGTACTTACGCTATTGCTAATTGGCAAACCGACTTTTATGAATCAATTGAGTTGACGATTAATCGTTGTGCGGATTTCATACGCAAAATTTGTATGACTGCAATAAAAATCCGCAGTCCACCGACTGTGACCGAACAGCGGCGAATGAAACGAAATTCTACTTGCATATACCGTACGCTTTACAATAAGGCTGTGCGATTATTCGTGCTCCGTTTACAGGGAATCCTGCGTCGGACGCGGATGAGACGATCTCGTGAGAAATCGGGGACGAATCGAAGCAGTGTTCCGGAACGTTCGAACCGTGATTAGTCGTATAGCATAGATTGCGCGTGACGCATCGTTACAGCGATTTACGCATATTCCAACGCACGTCCGTATAAAACGCGGCAATTATCGCTCGCTCGTTCGCTTCGATCAACGGTTAACGGATTCGCTCTTCTCCGAAACAGTATTAACACCACTGACCTACACACGCAGAACACGGATCAATCCTTTCTCATACTCGCCTTCACGACTTCTCTGGTCGTCCCGTAACCTTCCGAGTACTCTCTCGCGACTCTTCCTCCTCCTTTACCAAAGATTGTGTAACGACTGGTCGAGATGTGACGATCGACCACCGGTGCGTGTACCAGATCTGAAACTCGCTTCCGATCGATTTTGGCGAAGGTGGCGGAATCGAAAGAGGAAATTCGCGTTTTTTTCACGAGCTCGTTGGAGGGATCGCAATCAACATTTAATGGTCTCGGATCGATCGAGAGCACGGGCGGCCGGGCACGCATCCCCGCGATTAACCACGGGAACGTGGAAATTGAACGAGGAGCGTACGCTCCGGGACGAGCAGGAAAAAAATTGATCCACCGACGGACCGGGGCTATTGTGTAATTTAGTAATGAAGTCTGCGGCGTCGTTCGAGCGGCCGCCACTAAATCACAGGACGTAGATTGGGGCGCGCTCGGCCAGCTGTGACCCAGTGCTTTCCGCTAATTTGCCGTAACTCTCGTCCCCTCCGCGCCGTCGTCGCCGCTGCCACCGTTACCCCTTCGTCACCGCAAAAAATCGCGTTCGCGTTTACGTCAAACCTCGATTTCGAGACCATCCTTATCGTTCTTCGCCCTTTCTTCTCTCTTCCTTCGTCCATTGCCAGTTCGTCAGGTTTGTCGTAGAAGATTTTTGCATCGAATTTTAGAAACAGCGATCGTCTGAAGCCTGAAAAGGGGAACGGGAAGAGGGGACGCCTGGTGATGATTGTGGTGGTGGTGGTGGTGAATCTAGGTTTCACGGAAGTGGTGCTGAAACGGGAGCCCGAAAGAGTCAATGGCAGAATGAGATTACGCCTTAACGTTTGGCACGTTTGGTTAAGACGATTCGGTTGTGTGTACGTGTACGCCGTCGCGCACCGTGCGATGGTATGTCGAATATGCTCGCTATGTCGACTCGTGTTCCGGTTTTGATGCGTGCGCGAGATAAGATTGCCCTTTGTTACCACGACTCGTGTCTTCGAGACCCAGGAACCACCACCGGCGGTTTTTTACCTACGTTTACCTTTCCGTTTCTTTCTCTTGTGCGTCCCTTCGCGCTGCACTCTTCTCCCTTTCTACCACTACCAGCAGCAGCAGCAGCAGCAGCAGCAGGAACAGCAGCCCCGTGCTCCTCGTTCCTCGCAGCGCGCTCTTTCCTTCCTGGCTAGATTCCGTCGAATCGTGCACCTCCCGTGGCGCGGCATAATACTTTCAGATCGCGCGCCATCGTAAACTTTCGTCGGCCAGCGTCACGGCATCGTCGGTTCCGCGAAACACCGACTTTCCTCTTGCTCCAGAGACCGTTAACGGTCGCTTTCCAGCTTCGGATCTACGTTTACCCATGCTCATTCTCCGATGTTCTGGCGACGGAGACTTTCCCAGTAGTTCCCAGTAGTCTAGATCACTGATTCTTGAATCCGGTCGAATCGAATGAATCGTTGGAGTCTGGATGTCACTGTATCGAGAGTAACGATCGTGTAAATGTTCGTCGCATGATATTCGGGGCATGTGATGAATTTGAGACGAGGTTCGGACCAGGGAGAGTACCGTCGAAAAGGCACTCGGTGTACGATTTCGAGCCTTGTTCTCAGTCGTTTATCCATATCGAAGGAACAACGTTGCGAAATAGTATCAGCGATATTATTTACTACGTTCGACGTAGATGATCACTGTCGGATCGTATGAAAGGAAATACACAGTGAGCCAAGAAGAGACTCGGTCGCGTTCATCCAACGTCGTGAAATCGGTAACCTTGATGTACCCACGATTAGATAATTGAACGTCACAAGACCAGCGAGAATCGTGTTTCGCGTTGCGAAAGATACGCGTAAACACGACGCGTATTAAATTCGAGTATTTTTACGCGTTTACGTAACGCAGAGTCAAAGGTTATCGTTAATTTTAATTCGAACCGAAGAAAATCGTACGATTAACGTGATGTAAGTATGATCGATGCTCGATTCGCTCTTAATTCAATTTGTTCGAAAGGTAAACGAGGTAACGACGACGGTGAAACGATGGTCAAAGCGTATTGTTCTTTTGAAACTTGGTTTCGACTCGAGAGAATTCTGACACGTTCCCCTGTCGTATACTGGCTTCACGTGGCTCTCTCTGATCTTTTTCCTTCCAACCTTCCATTCGCTAGAATCGGAGAAATGAAATACGAAGAACGTTGAACATCCCTACGTTACATTATCACGCGCGTGAACGTGGCGCGTCTGTCATGCGTACGTTCGCCCGCAGCGTCCGGGCGAGTGGAAGTCGAAGCGAAGGAGAGCAGCAAAGCATCGAAGCGCGGGGCAAAACGAGCACGGGCAAGAAGGGTAGGTAGATAGGTAGGTAGGTAGGTAGGTAGGTAGGTAGGTAGGTAGGTAGGTAGGTAGAGGTAACGCGCGGCGAGACGAAAAGAGATACGGGGCAGGTTCTAGGCGAGGCGAGCGAGCGAGCGAGCTTATGGAACGGAACCGGGTAGTAGTACGATACGGTACGGTATGGATACACGGGGAGCTGGTATGGGTACACAGGTACGGATACACGGGTACGGGTACGCGAGAGGAGAGGCAGAGCAGAGGGCTCGGAGCATCCGAGAGATATGCCCCGGCTACGGGTGCAACGACCCCGGTGACCTTTGTCCGGTCTCTGCTCCGGCCGGTACCGTCGTCGTCTCCTACCTCCGAACTCGAACCGGCGAGGGACGGCGAACACGATGTGCGCACCGAACCACCGGGGCTCACCTCGACCTACCACCACTGCACCGCGTCGCCGCCGCCGTCGCCGCGGCCGCCGCCGCCTCCGCTGTAGCCGCCGAATCTCTACCTGTGTTCACCAACGACCGCTTCTTCTCACACGGTGACGCGCCAAAACGGCCGATCCTTCCTCCGTTCTTATCGATGGATCGCCGATTTTATGCACATTCAAACGAATTTATCAACGATGCGGACGTCGGTCACGCATTGATTCATCGGTTGACGCAGTTATAGAAAAATATTGTAAATCTTTCGTTTGAGTTCGTAGGAGCGTGGACTGGCAACGAATGTGACACGCGACAGAGAAGCGTGACGTACACGACGTGAGATACGATACGAGCGGATGTATTAAAAGTAGGTGTACGAGTTTCGAAGGAATCGCGTCGCTGGATTTGGACGGTGGCGACGCGAGGCTTGCGAGCGCGGGTAGATGGTACACAAGACACGGTCATCGTACTCGAAAAAATGTGAAGCGCACACTCTCCGCGCGCGTCGGCCTGTTGCTCGTTTTCGTCCACCTTGACCATCCTCCAGATCTTTATAGCGTCATTAAACCTCACCTCGAAAGATGACCCTTCGCCCGAATGATGCCTTCCCTCGACCGAGCCAACTACTCGCGCTACTATTTCGTTTGACGCGACGACGACGGCGCCGTGAGAACTAGATCGCGGATAGCTCGCGCTTACCGTTACCACGAATTTCTTCTTCTTCTCCTTTTTCTTCTTAATTACCACCGACCGTTTCAAGCCCGGAATAATGACGGGACAGATCGTAAGGATGATCGTCCAACGCTGTTTCGCTTCTCCTGATCTAACTAATCGTAAGCCGCGCGAGTCGATGATTCAGACGATGAAAACAGTCGTATAAAATAATTAAGTATTCTTTTATTCAGTCAGACGCTGCTGCTCTGCGAGCTAGATTCGTAGTAAGCTTCGTCGCGAAGATCGAGAATCGATGTGGAACGATGTGCTAGTTTATTGATCGGAGCGTGCCACGAATTAAATCGACTTTACGAAGCGCAGGTGCTGCTGCGCTAATTTGCTGGCTCGTTTCGAAGGGGTAGGTTAATTATCGCGCATGAGAAAACATCCTTGGAACTTTCCGACTAATTCGAGTAGAGAGATCGAGGGGAAAGGCTGTGGGAGGGAGGGAGGTAAGAGAGAGAGATAAAGAGACGGAAGAGCAAACTCTCCGAGGCGACACTTGTCGTGCGTAATGCTACGTGCGAAACGTTGTGTCAATGATCGTGTTATTCGTTGTATCAGAAGTATTGTATCGGACATTGTACTGTTCTCGAGATAAACCGATAGATCGTTTCATACGTAATAATTGTTGTGATACGTCTGTTACATATGAGTGATCACGTGAAACGTTCCATCGATTGGTACGTCCAGTGTCGGCTGATCGTACGAAGCACGCGTATCAAATGTCGTATGGAGCATTAGAACAAAATGGAAGAAGAGAGAGCGACGGATTACTCTCTCCGAAGTACGATCGCGATACTTTTAATATTAAAAAACGATAACGTTGGGGAGTAATCGCGAGAGGCTTTACGACGACGACGACAAAGACGACGGTGCGTCGACTGACAGGACAGACATTAAATTCGCCTGGCACAACGCACGTCGCCGTGATGCACAATCACGCGATTTGTCAACAGAACGTTCGGCGCGCGCGCTCATTTATTCGAAAGAAAACTTAACGCGTGTGTTTAAACGTTCTTCGCACATTTTCTCTCTATCATTGAAGGCGATACGCCTGAAAACAACGTCGGCGTCGTCGTCGTCGTCCGTTTCGTATTTAGACAGATGAGAACGAGAGAAAATGAACACGGCTGCGGCGGAGGGGCGCGCGCGGAAATTTTGGAAAACCGTCACGATGCTTCATTCAGCTATATACGTGTGGAAATCGTTTTCTAACGACGTTCTTTCGCTTTTTACCGACAGAACGTGACGCGACGAGATAGTATACGTGGTGGTATGTCGCGTTACGTTGATAATAATATGGAAGGAAACTGATATACGTTCCATTTCAAGCGTATTCCGCTCAAAATCAACATTTTCACAGTGTGCGATACTTTAGTCATTACTTCTCGAAAAACGTCTTTCACACCTTCCTCCGTTCGTTATTATAATCCCGGATTTTTATGCATCACGAAACGTTCATCGGTCCGACGTCGGTTTCACGAATGCACCTCTGTCAACGCGACTTTTGACGATAATTGTCTTATGAATTGTACCTTACTGCCGTTTAGAAAACACTATACATACGTATGATATGCATGTTTGTTCGACGAGATTCAGACGGCGGGTAACCGCGTCGGGCTACGGATAATAGATCGGTTGACCTCAGAATCGGTTGCTCGAAAACGAGATCCCTTTTCCATGGTCGGCTCTAAACCGCACCACTAGTTTGTGGTCGTGCAATTACCTACCGTTTAGTCACGCCGCCGTTCGCTCGCCGTCGTCTCCGCATCGCTCGCTTCGCAATCTGAAACTTTACAGGACATTAGTCCCTCGCCGAATACTCTGCTCTTCGTATCGATCGGGACTCATGTTCGTTACGTATTTTTCTTTCAGAAGGCTGCATCTCCTGACGACCCCAGACTCTCGCCTCTGTATGCGTCGCGAGGAACGTTTGATCATTTTTTACGCACCGATAATTGCATGAAATTACGGAGTGATCTAGTTGTGATAGGATCGTTCCGATTCTTCGATTGAACGCAAGGTGAAAAGTAGAGTGACCGCTCACTCGACGCCCGGACGCGTCCGTAGGCAGGTCGGTAATAACGATAATTACGGGCGGTTGCGAAATTCTGTTTAATCGCGGCAGTCGACATTGATTTGTAGCTTTATACATTTTGCAATCGTTGCAATCGTTGCGTCGCGCGTGCTCGAAACGCGACCACCGTCCGTTTTATTCCCTATGCCGGTCACGGACAGAAGCAGGTTGAAAATCTTTCATAGTCGAGATACCGGTCACGCGACCGGTCTACTAATGAATCAGGAGGTAGGTCGTTCGACACGATGTAATAACGACGAGTATCGACCATGTTTCATACCGTATTTCATACTATGTACATACATATAATGGTCGATACGATAATTGATGTACCGACGACGTGTCGTACGTACAGCGATTGATACACTGTTCGATTCGCGTAACAACGTTTATTGTATAAACAATGGTCGCGACGCAGACACGAGACTGCATTGGTTCTTCGGAATTTCTTCCTCGAATCCGTGTATCGTCGCGTACGTTTTACACGGATCGCATCGTTAAGGTTGAAGTGAGATGGTACGAGGAAGCAGAGACGAAGACGAAGGTGAAGACGATGACGAACAGCAGCGGAGCAGAGTGGGAAAGAAATGGTAGGGACGCGGGACGTGCTCTCTTCTGGTTCAGCCGGTCGGTCGTTCGTTCGTTTCCTCATCACGTATGCGCGTTACGTAGCCAGCCGGACCGAGAGATGCGGTGTGATATAATTTTCTAGCGGTTGTACCGCCTCTTACGTGCTGCATACCCACGGTGACCATATTTTTTTCGAGGACGATCAAAAATTGTTTCACGACGACGAGAAATTGCAGCCAGCAGCAGCAGCACCGAGGGCAGAAAACTGAAAGACCTTGTACATGCACGACGTAGCGCAATAGTTCCAATTTCTGTACGCGCCACAATTTCTGCTCACCCGACCTTATTTCCTATTATATTATACGTCATTCTAAAAACGATCTACGAACGAGCCACAACTGATGAACGATCAGTAATTTTTTCGCGCATCTACTCGACGCAACAGTCGACCATTGTCGCGCGTTTTACGCGCACCGCGAATAAGAGGCCGTGTGCCCGATCCATATTCCGCGTCGGCCGTGAAGTTTTTGCGAATCGACGAGTATAAAAAGTGTCACAACGCTCGCAGATGATGTTGCATCCGAACCACGCGTAGCTGCGCAATGCTTCCAACGAGTTTCGCCGAGATCTTTCTGTCTTGTTTCGCCCACTTTCACACAGTTATTCATTCGTCGAATGTGTCAGGCCGGTGCGTATACGTTCGCGCATTCCTCTCTCGTTATGCGCGTCGCGTTGTAAAGAGTCGAATTGAAGATGAGACAATGTGAGGAGTGTACGATGATTACTCTGACGAGAAACTGCTCGGAAAACTGGCGCGTTTCACGAGTCCACGTCGCGGATATAATTTATTTCGCATGATAGTAACCGATCTTATCGTTGGATGAAAACTGACTCGTAGGTGATCGTCGACAGGGTGGCGAGGCGAACAAAAGCGAATTATGCAAACGTCGGACAAAGAATCAGAGGAATGCACCCGGCGGCGGCTGCGGCCCAGATACCTGTCGGTGATCGGAGGAAAGAGAAAGAGAGCCGGACTCCCTCTTTTACATATCGGCGAGCTGTACGGCTCTCGCGATAGATTCGATGTCGCGATACCGCGGCGCCAACCGCTTCGTCCGCGTATCGCACCCCTGCATCCCCTTCTTCTCTGACCCGCGCCGAGAAGAACGCAGGCCGAAGGTCAGCCTCGCCGACCATACTATGTATAATAGTACGTATACACCACAGTGTGTCCCGCGAACGTTCGCCACGATTTTTCAAAAACTTCCGCAGAAATTGACGAAAAAATGTCTCTGGCAAAAGTTGTTCAACTTTTCAACAAGGTGTAACGGCTCATATCCATTTTATCCGTAGAAAAGAGGAAGAGACAGAGATTAGGAAAGTAAAATGCATCGATATGCATCTCATCGGTCAATTAAATTTGTCTTGAAATGGACCGTGGAAGAGTGCGATCGGACACGGTACTAAAATTTTTTTCTCGACATACCGTGGATTTTTTCGAAAAAGTTGGCAACCCCATCGCAGACTGGGAGCAGAAAACGGAGAAGAGCGAATGCAAAGAGAAGAGAGCTGGCAAAGTAGAAGAGAGAGAGAGAGAGAGAGAGAGAGAGAGAGAGAGAGATTGGAAGGGCAGATGGTGCAAAGATCGTACCATTGTTTGCTTTCTGACAGCGATAAGTTCACAATAAAGTTACATTCGTTTCCAAGTAAATGTCTGTCCTCTGCTCGCGTCCGCTCCATCCTTCTTCGTTTCCAGCCCCTCTCGCGTATCTCGTCTCCCGGTCGCATTCCCCGGCTCTCCGGTGCACCGCGAAGCACCCTCGCGCACGACGATAACCATAACTCTCTTCGCACCCGCGCGTCTTCCGCTTCTTTTTTACCACTCCTCGCTTCTTCGCTCCCCCGATCTCCGCGTCGCCGCGCGCAGATCCTCTTTAATCCTTTTCCCTTCTGCGATTCGAGTCGAACGTTTCTTGACCCATTTGCATCGTGCGATGTAAAGACTAAATAATATCAACGATCCGCAGAGATAAGATCGATAAGATGCGATTCATGCAACGATCGTTGTCGACGAATTTCATGCACGTATTTATAACGATCGATGCAAAACGCGAGACAATGGCACTCGATGGAGAGAGTTCGGTGGCGAAGTTTCCGGGTGTGGCGGCGACGACACGCGCGTGTTTCGCGCGTCAAACGGGTCGCGACGAAAGCTGGAAGAGTCGAGGAGGGAAAAGGAAAGAAGGAGGAACGCGAGGAAAGGGGGAGGATGGGCAGTGGAAGAACCAGGAAGGGTGAGGAGGCTCGAGGCTCGCTCGTGCCATCGCGAACGCTTCGCTATGCGCGGCATGCGTATTTAAGCGGCCGTTTAATTGAGGCTAATCGAGAGATATTGAGCGTTCGCGTACGGGTGTCAGGCGCGGCCGGCGACGCGTTGCGATCCCATCTTCTTACGTCCACCCCCGCCCGCTTGTCGTTTCTACATCGCGACAGTCCTGTCTTCCAACGCCACCGCACCGCCGGACAACTGCCGAGGAGGTGCCACGGTGCCAGCCGAGGTTACCTCGCAAGAACTTACATTTCGTCCCGCTTGCATCGTCGTTACGTCGTCGGGTTGATCGTCATCGTACGTAACCGTTATACGATAGGAAATATGATTATTTCTTATTATCGTTCCGTACACGGAATCGTACTTGACGATGTACGATTATACGACCATGGTGGTGAACACTTGAAACATTAAGTTCTCATTTCGACAGAAACGAACGTAGAGAAAGCATAAGAAAGAAGGTATGAATTTTTATCGATCGTGTAAGAGTATCTTGAAACCGGCGAACACCGTACGAGGAAACCGCAATGTCCGTAAAACAATACGGTTTTCTTTTTTCTTTCGTATCAAACGTCCTTTCCTTCCTTCCTCCTCTCCAATTTCCCTGAATCGTATTACTACGTCCTCGTAGAAGCCAGAAATCAATTCCAAGGCTAACCGAGTCGACTCGAGTAGGTAGTGTGCGCGAACTGATCCGGATAATTTTCGAAGGACGAACCAAGTTCCCATTGACCAAGTTCACACCTCCTGAGTCTACGTTAAAGACCTGAAAAATCGACTGGTCTAACTTGGAACCAGGCGCGGCGGCGTGAACCGAGACGAGACGAGAGGTGAGAGATAGGAGAGTCGACCGATCAGGGGTCGGGCCAGTTTTGACGCGTTCCGAGAAACCGGCGGTCGTTCGTGGGAATAATTTAAGAAGAGGCTCGCATCTGCGCCCGTCATGACAGAGCTTACGAGAGTGGCATTAAATTGGCCGTGTTTATTTTTAGAGGGGACCGTGGCCAGCGCATAGTGGAACTCCTAATTGTTCTCGTTAACGCTACGCTCGCATCTGTCTGAACCCGTGAACTTAAGAGTGGCCCCGTTGGACGAACGGCGACGTCGTCGTCACCGCCGCCGCCGCGACCGATCACGAGATCCCTCGCGATCATCGTCGTCTCCTCGATCGAACGGAAGACCGATCTCCTCGTGTTCCAATCTCCCATTGCCCTTTAACGTCGATCTGCCATGTCGAGATGTACATTCTGAAGTTTCAAGTCATTTTCCAATGCTCTCGAGAGCAGCTGCATCACGATCATTGTCGTAAATGAGTAGTCGTTACGTTACGATTTCTGATCGTCGTCGTCGTCGTCGTCGTCGTAACGTAAACCGGAAGATGATATAAGAAGAGTTCGCTCATTTAAAAACGAATCGTCGAAGATATAGACTCGGAACAGACGATGATAATAATAATAATAATAATAGTTGAGATGAACACGGTATAGTATTCGCGACGTCGAGAAAAAGAATGTATGACGGAATATCTATGATGGAGACGTAAGAAGGCGTTACGACTTTTGAGAAACGGTTATTCGATCGCGTTCTCAGGGGTGGTTTCTCGTGGTGTCACCCTAAAACGACGCGCGGAGAGCTTTGCCGGGAGAGAATAAACTCGGCCGCATTTCGCAGTCGAGCCGTAGGAAAAAACGGATTTTCTATTTACGATGACCATTTGGATTTTCTCCGGCAGGCTGGGTGCCGTGCCGTGGCCGAGGGGCGAAACCACCGACCGAGGGAAGAATCGCAACCGCGGCGGCCTGTGATTTTCGTCAGCTTTATACTAAAATTCCTGCATAAAAGGACCGGCCGGCTGGCTAAAGGACAGGACGACCCCTCGGCTTTACGCTATTATTACGTATGCAAGTGTCATTCTACCCCACGGTATAATATACGCTCCTGCTCACGATTTTCGTTGACCGTAGGTGTGATTCGCGTGTGACCCGTGTGATCCGTGCCATTTGTGCACCACCGGTATATATCGGAGAGACCAAAACTGCAAATAGAAAGGCGTGTGATCGAGCTCATAGAAAAAATAGATATTCTTTTGATTCTATACACGACTTTTAACTTCGTACGCAGACACCTGATCATCCAGATATTGACATCGCTCGTACACATGCCGCGCAGAATATGCATACATACGCAGCGAACGAGGGAGGTTGGAACGGAATCATCCAGAAAATATGGTAGAAACGAGGCACCGACTTAGTTCGATTCCGAAGCTAGGATCGCAGATGATTAGATCGCAGATCGCGTTTGTATAGTTACGCGGTATATTGTTCATTGACGATTTAACACGATACGAACTACACGTACGAAAGGGTGACGAATGAACAAAGGTACACTTCGACTCGGGAGTGTCACGCCCAAAATAAAAGGACCAGTCGCGCAGGTCATGGCACAAGAGGGTCGAGAAGTGTATGCACACGATTCTCGCGCACAAAGTGTTCGTAGTGCGGAATATTCGCCGATTCGATGGGGGGGGGGGGGTTAAGAAATTAGGTCAAAGGGGGTCGGAGGGTCACCGGGGTAAATAAAATGAAAAGCAAACACGATGGAAAAGCACGTTACCGTCTACGATTTGAAGACGGAAAAGACGATTTGAATCAGCAATGAACATTGGACTTTACGAGATTGCTGCCTGTTTGACGAATTCAATGGTTTCCGGTATAAATCCGTGGACAGTCTCGTATCGAAAGAACCCACTTAGGCCCTACACGACGACGGGTCACGACGATTAACGATGCACCGACCACGTTCACTCGAGAATATCTTAAGAGACCGTCTCTTGGCGCTGAACCGCGCGGGGAACCTTGGGAAAAGGGAATTTCTCGTGTGGACGAAAAGTGTGGTAGCCTCGTAATTGAGCGAAGTATACAAAACGGAACTGAAGAGTAGGCGAGTGGTGGTGGTCGGAAAGCGTAAAAAAAAAAAAGGGAAAGCGATTATTCGAGATTTCGGGGCTGGCCGAGAGAGATATCGTGAATTATGCATGGTCAGGACTGGGGCACGCCGGCACACCGGTGCGTCCTCCTCGCCCGTTCCCATGCATACCATGCATACGTCGAATGATAGATGGACGTGTCAATTTCATCGGTATCCGCTATCGACGCGAGCTATCTTCATCCGTGCGAGATTTCGATATGGTTGCGAGCCTGGGACGCAGGGACACGACTCTTGGATCTTCGCGATTCATTCGGTTCGGATTACGACGACGACGACGACGACGACGACGACGACGAGGAATAAATACGCCTCGTTTTACGAAAATTGTTTTAAGTAAACGCGCTGGACGCGAGATGCACGAAGAGAGTGTGTCCAAGTATGTGAAAAGTGTAACACGACGAATCGGTTAGGAAACAAGTAGCTGATCTGTGATCGCAGAATTCTTAAAACGAGAAGCATTTTGTCGATGCGACGTCGAGTGTTCCACGCGTCCATTTATGGAATAAAGGATACTACAACGAACGAAATCGACGAGTCTGAGTGGTTCGTGGATAGCTGACCGTTCGCAGTCGCGAACGGCTGGTCGAGCCCGTGGAGCAGCCGTCACACAGCCTAAGGATCCTCCTTTGGGCGCAGACACGCAATTAACTACAGGCTATATTCCTCCGGCGGCGGCGGCACGGAGGAGGAGGAGGAATAAAATGAAAAGCAAACACGATGGAAAAGCACGTTACCGTCTACGATTTGAAGACGGAAAAGACGATTTGAATCAGCAATGAACATTGGACTTTACGAGATTGCTGCCTGTTTGACGAATTCAATGGTTTCCGGTATAAATCCGTGGACAGTCTCGTATCGAAAGAACCCACTTAGGCCCTACACGACGACGGGTC